AGTGGATAAAGAGCTGACCTTGGAGTCAAGGACACCTGGGTTCACATTCCGCCTCTAACACAAAGTGGTCACCTGACCCCTAAGCAAGACTTAACCTCTTTCCAATCCCAGGAAACGAAGACGTTAAGTTACAGGACAGTTGTCCATAAGCAATGCTAGAGGAAGTTATCTCACTGGAAGTTCTATACACCAATCACAGGCCCAGATTTAAAAAGCAGCTAGCTAGCTAGATGGGGAAGGAGGGAAATATTGAACCTGATGTCAGGGGGCATGAACTCAAATCACATCTCAGATATTAGTTGTTTGATGCCAGGCAAGTCACTTACCATCTCTCAACTTCAGTTTCTTCATCTGCAAAATGAGGATAACAATAACACCTAATTCATAGGGTGGTTGTGATGATCAAAAGATAACATATGTACCAAATAACTACCATTCCCATTTAAATGACTACATTGTGGTGAGCATGATCTATACAAGGGGTTTCATGCAAGCTAGAGTTCGAAGGGACCTCAGAGATAACATAGTTCATTCTCATGTTACAGATGTGGAAACAGGGTCCCAGAAAGGGAAAGAAATTTGCTCAGGGTCAGACAGGTAGTAAGTGGCAGACATGAGATTTAACTCCAAGTCTAGTTATCTTTTTACTATATCCCACAGTATATAGTGGTATATAGTGTTATAAAATAACAAATTTTACCCTGAATACCAATAATATCTAACCATTGTTAATCTCTCAATAATTAATCTCCAGAAAAAAAATTAGCAACTTTGCGGCACAAAGCATGATGCAAAGATTGATATATTATAGTGAATGTTTCCTTTTATATACTCATATATTTATTCAATTAGAAACACAAAATTTCCTGCCCAAAGACTGTGTGCCATATACATATATTTATTTCCAAAGAGCAATAAATAAAAAACATATTTCACAAATACTTTCTGCCCTTTCCTCTAAGAGTTTTATATTTCAATTTTTACTTTTTTGTTCTGGACCTATGGATCTAACAAATTCCATTATCATCTTCTAGGCAATAACAACTACTTTCCAACCTTAAAAAAAAGTAAAATAAATAATCACTTTGTTGAAGCTCAATCAAGTAGTAAGGGATTTAAGATCAAATAAAATGTTTAATTTCATAGCTATATAAATAAGCATAAAAAGAGGCAAAAAACACTGAATGTTTTCTGTGGTGAAACTATTTTGCAATCAAAGCATGGGCCCTAAATCAGCTTGTCACTTGTCTAGTTTTCATAGTCAGTAAAGAAATTAAATGATCATACCAGATTATTAAATATAATTATTAATAGATAACCTTTAAAACAATGATCCATTCAATTCCCAAAAAGACAGAATTCATTCTGGGTTAACTCTCATGTCCCTACGACAGTGTCCTACATGAATAGGATCCAAGAAAACACTTCATAGCTGATCAAAGAGGTTAACTATAAGGATACAAAAGAGTCAAGTTACACACTATTTTACAAGTGCTATGAAAATGAATTTAAAGTGATTTATTAACCAATGTTATCTCATCTGATCCTCACAACAATACTATGAGGTAGGTGCTATTATTATTCCCATTTTACAGATGAGCAAACTGAAGAAGAGAGAAGTTAAGTAACTTGCTCAGTCACACAACAGAATGTGAACTCAGATCTTCCTTATTCCAAGAACAAAAGATGCTATGTTTAAGACACTAAAATCATTTAGGTTAAAAAAAATAAACAAAATAAGTTAAATGATAAAGTTTTTTAATTCTTTTCTTGGTTACTTATATTTTCCTATTTTGTTAACAGATCGGCCAATTGCTCAACAATTGCTTCATGCAAAGCCTTGATATATAAAGCATTAATATTTCTGATACTAAGTAACAACTTCATTTTGATAAGAGCAAATTAAACACTGAGCTTTTCCTAAATAAAACATTTAAAATAAATTCAAGAATAATGTTCAGTGGTTTTATAACTAAGAAACTACTAATTTTTTTCAGTAAGATAAACTGCGAAAATCAAGTTGTTGTTGGGGTTTGTTTTGGGTTTAAAAAAGTTATGGGGAAGCTAAGTGGCACAGTGGATAGAGCACCCGCCTTGGAGTCAGGAGGACCTGGAGTTCAAATCTAACCTCAGACACTCGACACTTACTAGCTGTGTGACCCTGAGCTAGTCACTTAACCCCATTGCTTAGCCAAAAAAAAAAAAAAAAGTTACAGTGTACAGAGAGTATACTTTAAAAGGAATGTATACTTTAAAAAGGAAAAAGCTATACATGGCAGAGATTCATGGTTTCACTTGTAATCCTCCTTTTCTGTTTTTCTTCGTATATGAAAACATTCGTGTTTGTAAAATTCAAAATAGCATAGGAGAAAAATTTTTAAATAAAAAAAAGAATGGAAAATGTATATGTACCAAATGGGAAACTGAACAAATTATAATATATGAATGTAACAGAATATTACTGTACCATAAGTAAACTAATAAGGAATTTAGTCTTCCAGAGTTTCTCTAAAATGCTATCAAATGAAGCAAGCAGAATCAGGAGAAAAATATGACCACAGTAATGTAAATCAAAATAACACTAAAACAAATTCATGACTAATCTAGAACCCTGAGAAGAGATGAAGTGCCCTTCTTCCTTTCAGTAGAGAGGCAGAGAACTAAAGGTGTGAAATATTACATACACTATCCAGATGAGGTCACTGGGTTGGCTGGCTTTGCTTAATAAGGTTTGGTGGGCTTTTGTTTGTTTATTTTGTTTTGATTTTGTTACAAGGGAGGGCTAATTTGGGTGTGGGGAAATGGGGAATCAATAAAATACCCTTAAAATGATAGTAACAAAAATTTTAACCAATTTTAACAAAAAACTTTTAACAATTCTAAAGTAAAGCACTGCTGTGAGGCTCAAAAAGAGCTCTCCCCATTTTACAGATAAAGGAGCTTGGAATAAGAACGGGTTTGACAACTTGTCCAAAGCCACACACCAAGCAAATGGCACAGCCAGAATTGGAACAAGCCAACTCCTGATTCCAGGGACTCTTCTGAAAAACACCTTGTAAAACTGCTTGGTTAAGTTAAAATTCTCCTAATACACAGACTTTTTTTTCTTTTCACACTTTCATAGCGTAAATGTAAACGTATGTGTCTATCAAACTGAATCTCAGCCAGTCATCATTAACAAGTACCCAGTTGGCAACTTTAGCCCATGTGCATAGCACATCAGCAGACATTTTTCTTACAAACTTTGCAATTCATAGCTTCATAGGATTTAGAACAGTATAGGACCTTAGAAATTATCTAGACCATGTTCTCGTTTTATACATGAAAAACAGGCCAAGAGAGAAGTAACTTGACCAATAACTTCTAAGTTGTCCCAACTTCTCTAACTCTAAATATAGTGCTCTTTCCACTACTATACAAATGCCTAAAAATATTAGTTCCACCAAAGTCCGATAACTGTACCCTTGAAAATACATGTCCCTCTTGAAAGCTGTTCTCAAGGTAAGCCATACTACCTTCTCCATAAAATAATCTGAAGCAATCTAGGAAACGTAATTTCTAATAGGATGCATCTTAAATTATAATGTTGTTTGTCTCCTTTCTTCCAATACAGGCACTAAAGTTCGTTAAACATTAGCCAAATTTTATTAAGAGAAATTTCTACATATAAATTCATGTGGTTGTTAATGAAAAAAAAACAAAAAACAAAACTGATCACAGTACTAGATTTCTCAAACTGCAACAAATCAAGTCAGTTCTGTGACAGAAATGTAAACAAAAGAATCCACAAGCTTTTGCTATTCAATTGCCTAATTAATCTCAAAATAAAACCAAAGAAGAGACTGAAATTCTAAAATTTTAATTCATACATTTAGACAATGATTTAGTTCCTAATTGGCATGTCAAAAAAGGGACATGATTTGAGGGCCATAGAAAGGAAGAAAATAAATCTTTTGGGTTTTAAGAACCAAGTATATTTTAACACTTAGGTCTGTATATTTGCAACATGAATGTGGGGCTTTAAATGACTGTTCAATGCATGACGATAATTCCCTGCAGTCTCATTAATACCGAACCAGAACACATGCAAAAATCAAGTGAATATTCCACAACTGTTCTAAAGGCTTCCTTAAAACAACCAAATAAAAATGCTATGCAAAATTATAAATTAAAAAAAATTAAACTGTTCCTAAGGTCTGGTTCAACACCAGCAAATTTTAAATTTTCCTTAAACTACACTAGGGTTTCTAAATATCACTGATGTTAGTTCCAAAATGGTGAGTCCTAAGACCTGCACTGCCAGACGTTCCAGCAGGTCTTTAAAATGGTCCTTAGGACAGGAATTTTTTTTGCCAGTGATTACATATGCTTTCTCTTTCACGGTATGCCAACCTTAGGCCTGGTCTAAGAAGGTGGGCATTAATCCAGTGCTCGAGCTCCCTATTCTCATTTGCTCATTCTGAAGATAAAACACTCCGGTGGGAGGACTCCCCTTCCTGTAGCCCCCAAGCCTCGGAGGGCAAAAGGTGACATATTCTAATAAGAAAAGGCGGTCTGCTTTTTTGGAGTTCCCCATTTTAAACAGCACACATGGCACATTCATCTCTCACTAGCGGGTGCTCCAGTCAGTGGGGGACGGAGGCCATAGCTGTCAGACGCGTCCGGGTCATTTTAGGGTCTGCATTTCACACCGCGAGGGCTGCCTGCAAGCTCTCCCCCCCGAAGGTGCCAAAGGGCACCCGGCTCTCTGGGCTCCAGGGGGCACATGACGCTGCCAGAACGTGGTTCCCAAGAGGAACTCAGAAACGTCTGGGGAGGGGGGGCGGTAGATGGGACTGAGAAAGAGGGGGGAGCGAGACTCCCACGACAGTGGAAGGGGGGGGGGTCCCGAGACCAGAAGGAAGCCCGCAGACAAGGCTGGTTGCAGGGCGGGCCCGGCGGGGGAGTGGGAGGGGTCGGAGCCCCGGGGGGTCCGAGGCGGTGTCTGCCAGGGCTCTTACGTTCAAAGTCTTCGTCCTCCTCGTCGTCGCTGTCTCTCCCCTCGCCCTTCCCGCCGAGGTTGCGGCTGTCCCGGAGGCGGGTGAAATAGTCCACGGCGAAGTCCACCAGGTCATCGGGGTGGTTCCTCAGCACCTCCACCGTGTAGCCCTGCAGGAGCTCCGTGAGCCCGGGCGGGATCTCGATGTGGCTCATGGCGGGGGCCGCTGGTCGGGCTGCCTCCCTCACACGCGGCCGGGGCCGGGCCGCAGGGGCGGCGGCTCCGCACGCTCGGGCGGGCCGAGGCCGAGGCGCTCACACGCCGCTCCTCCCGGCGCGCAGGGGACGGTTCCTCACCCGCGGCACGGGCCCAGGCGCCGGGCAGCGGCTCGTCCTCGCACGCGGGCCGGGGCCTCGCTCGGAGCGCCGCTCTCGCTCTCCTGGAGGACGCGGCGTGCGCCCGTCGGCCCGTGCCCGTCCGCCGCCTCGGCCTCCTCCTCCGGCTGCACTTCCTCCCCGAGGAGCCGCCGCCCCCTTCCCCTCACCGCGGGCTCGGGCTGCAGGCGCCTCAGCCGCCGCTGTCACACTGGAAGCGCGACAGGAGGGAGGGAAGGACCAGTGCGGCGGGAGGGGGCAGCGCATGCGTACGACGCCTCCCCACGCTCCCGGGCGCCTCCGCAGCCTCCCTCCCCCGCCCTGGGCGGGCTCCCCCAGCCCTGCGGCTCGGGCAGCCCGGAGGTGGGAGGGACGACTGCCCTCCCCCGACCGGGGGCTCTCCGAGGGGTAGAGCAGGACGGGCCTGTGGGGGTCACCTGGTACAGCTCCTGCACAGGCCTGGATGGTTAATTAATCCTAATATTATTCTAATATAACTGATATTAACATACCTAAGGTTTGCCAAGCCCTTTACATACATTCCTACATACGTTATCTCATTTGAACGTCACAGCTGCTCAGCAAAGGAGGTGCTGTAATTGTCTTTATTTTTAAATAAAGGAGACAGAGGCTTCAGTTTAACTGCAGGAGCCCACAGCTGGAAAGTGTCTGAAATGAGATTCACACCCAGGTCTTCCAGACTCAAGTCTAGACTCTTTCCACAACTCCTGAACCGCCTCCTCCACAAACTAAGACCCAGAAAGTCAAGTGAATTACCCAAGGGGGAACATCAAGTGTGATAGAAAGAGCGGGAGATCTGAATTCTGGAGGCCTGGTTTCAAAGTCCAGCTCACCTGCTTATCTCTCAGTGCGGGCTCAGGCAAGTCACTTCCTTTCAGGGCTTCAGTTTCCTCATTTGGGTAACCCCTATCAGGCAGAGGCACAGAGCCCAGATACACTTTAGGTGCTTTCTGATTTTCTGGTTCATAGCTTGCACCCAAGGAGAATATGGGAATATCTGGTAATCCCCCAAGGGTAGATACTATTTCTCTTTATATGCATTTTATATGCTAACCAAGGCTCAAAGACGTGGAACACTTTTGTTTAAAAATTAAGTAAGATAGGTGGCAGAGTGGACAGAGCTCCGGCCTTGGGAGTCAGGAGGACCTGAGTTCAAATCCGACCTCAAACACTTGACACTTACTAGCTGTGTGACCCTGGGCAAGTCACTTAACCCTGATTGCCTAAGCAAAAAAGAGAGAAAGAAAGAAAACACTCAAAGGCCTTGCCCACTGAGATTGTCTGGATGCTTCCCACCTCCCAGCAGTAAGGTACCCTCCATTCAGAAACCTGTAGTATTAGGGTATTTCCCTGATTGAGAACCCCTTTCAGGCCCTCTTTATTCTCCTCCAGATGCAGCTCCTTATCAGTGCTCTACAGTTCAAATTTAGCTCCATTATGTTCTCCATTCCATCAGATGTCCAGCAACCCCTTCCTTGCCCATGCTATGATGGTCAATAACTTCTCTAGCCTCCTCTTTCTAATGGCATCACTCAACTTTGTTTCAATGATCCTCACGCTGCTGCTCTTCTGTACCAAGATGGTACTTGTTTATCTCCATGATCCTCTCCAGAAGACCAGTTGAAAACAGCTGGCCCATCAAGGGATTTCCCTGGCACCTCAGCTAAGTAAGTTCTTGAATGCATCCAAGGACACAGTACTTTCCAATTTTGAAACCTGTTTTTAAATACCCAGGTCCTACTCGTCCATCCTTTACACATTCTGGATTGCTCAAAGGAATCAGTTTTCTACTCCAGGTCATCTCATGTTGAGTCCCCCCAATGTGTCTTCTCCCTATGCCACGAAGGTGAAGGTAATGCCTCCTGTTCACTTCAGCATCTGCCTCGACGTCTTGGGCTTCAGAGGGTTATTCCCTTTCTCCAACCAGTTTTCTTTTTTCTTTTTCTTTTTTTCAAGGCAATTGGGTTAAGTGACTTGCCCAGGGTCACACAGCTAGAAAGTGTCAAGTGTCTGATTTGAACTCAGGTCCTCCTGACTCCAGGGATAGTGCACTATCCACTGTACCACCTAGCTTCCCCTCTCCAACCAGTTTTCTGTCCAATCTTCCTCTGGGATTACTGGTTTGGAATATATAAATTACTATTCTCTGAAAGATTTTCAAATAGGCGAAAACAGCAATTCCCAATGACTATTCCCAGGGAAGTTGCCTTTGGCAACCCTATCATGAGAACAAAATGTTTGTGTCCTTATTCTATCTATAAAATAAGGAGTGTAAACTAGGGGATTCTTAAAGTGTTTTTAAGCTCTGACTTTTTTTGTCCAAATGTCTAATGCAGTTCTGACCTTCAATGGTCATTTGACTAGCAGGACGAGCCAATCCTTGGACCTAGGCTTCCTGACTAAATTCAGAGCTCTTTCCACTATACTGAGCTTCACAAATGCCACTCCCATTCTCTATCATTATGATTGTTTCTACAACCCTGCAAACTTGGACATACCCTGAACTGTTCAAAGGCCCCTCTTTTCTTAGGACAGAGTAACGTCCTCTTTTTGGCCAAAACAAAGGTTGTAAACAGAAAACAGATGATAATTACAGGTCACATTTTCCTAAAGTACTTTTCTTATATTATCCTCATTTTACAGAGGAGTGGACTGAGGTTCATAGAGAAGAGACTTGCCCAATCCTAAAGTCTTCTGACTCTAAATCCATTGGTTTTCCCACTGACAAACAGCTGCTTCACACTATATCATACCAGACAGGGAGGTGGAGAAAAACAAAATTAGATGAACTATCTCCCTTTCTCATCTTATGGGCCAAAGTCCTTTATGGAGTCCTTCATATCTGGCTCCAAGTCACCTGTACAGCCTTATCCCAAATTACTTCCCGCCAAGCCCTGTAGGTCTAGCCAAACTAAACTAATCTTGGCCCGTTTCTTCTCTCTTTTCTACTACTATCCTTACCACCCTGGGTTACGTGCTGAATTATCTAGCCTCCCTACCTTAGCTTATGTAAGGGGTGGCAAATATTTGTTTCCCCCTCCATGATGTAATTGCAGAAAGTAGAGGGGCAGATAACAGAGTTAACTAGGTATTGCTGTTATTGAAATATAAGGATGCTTTTATCTTTTATGAAGTGTGAGCACCTTTCTCTGATGGAATTACAGGGGCAACTAGAGATTTGCTAACCGAAAATTGGCCAGTCCTAGAGGGCTTTAAATAACTGATTTAGTCAGATGTGGTGATTGTTAAACAATAAGCAGTTATAAGTAGCTACTTTAATTTATTAACCAAAAAATGTACAAACAAGCTATAAATAGGATAAATAAGAAATAATTAACAGGGAGAGGGCACTAGAAGGAAGAGAAGTTGATAAAGGCTTCCTCTAGAAGATGAGACTTTTGATATACAGGAAGTCAGGGAAAGGAATAGATAGTGAGTACAAGTTAAGGTAAGAGTCCAGAGCAGGTGCTATGCTTAAAAGGTCTCCAGTGCCTAGAACAGACTCCTTCTTTATTTACCCTGTCTTTCCATAAACCTTCCAAGGAAGATCTATCCAATGGCTGGTTCTTTTACTACTTTGTAGGTATGAGGGCAGCAATTCAGTTACACACCTTTTATCCTTCACCCTTGTCTACTCAATGAGCCTATCTCATTTCCTGGTCATATTTTTTGCTTTCTTTTTACAATTCCTTAATTTTGTTTTTATATTCCCTTAATTTCCTAATATATCCCTTCTTTCCTTGCTCACACAGAGCCATATCTTATAACAAAAGATAAAAAAGAGGGGGAGAAAAGCAGTTTTTGCAAAACTAACCAATACATAAACCAAATCTGACAGTATATTCAGGGTTCCATACCTATAATTACATCCCATCTACAAAGAAAAAGACATGTATTTTCATATCTCTACTTCAGGAACATGCTTGGCCACTATAATTACATGTTACATTTTATGGGTTTCTTTGGGTGTTCTTTCCATATGTACTGAGTATATTATTTTCCTGCTCTGCTTTCTTCACTTTGTATCAGTTCAAATAAATCTTCTGTTCTTTGCATTTTTTCATATTCACCCTTTATTATGACACAACATATTCATATACCAGTTTTTTTTAACTATTCCCCCATTATGGGCTTTCCTTTGTTTCCGCTTCTTTGCCAATAGAAAAAAATGCTACTATGAATATTTTGTTGATTATGGGCCTTTCCTCCTACCTTTGGTCTTCTTGTGCTTGGCAGTGAGATCTCTGAGTCAAAGGGTCAAATGGACATTTTAGTCTTTCTCCTAGCATCATTCCAATTTTTTCTCCAGAATATATGATACGATTCACTAATGACACACCCCCTTGACATCTTTTACATCACTCTTTTTTTTTTTGCTTTTTGGTGAGGCAATCAGGATTAAGTGACTTGCCCAGGGTCACACAGCTAGTAAGTGTCAAGTGTCTGAGGCCGGATTTGAACTCAGGTCCTCCTGACTCCAGGGCTGGAGCCCTATCCACCTGTGCCACCTAGCTGCCCCCTTTTATATTACTCTTAACACAGGAGTCAAATATAAGGTGCAGGCAGCCAGCTTATACACACACACTATGAATCTATCACCTTCAGGTCACCTGTTACTTGTTATTCTGATATCTTGGTATTCCATGATTTCTGACCAGATAGTATCATCAAGAGAATATAGGGGTCAAAAAATAGGAGGATTTTGCAAAAAGTGCAGCTTGGGTCAGTAAAAGAGCTGCACAGTCTGTTAAGGGCAATATAGCCTGCTCTTTTCCCCTTCAATCCTGGACCCACCTCATTATCAATTGGCAGTGCCTGTCCAAAACCATCACGTGCTGATAAA